ACTCAATGACAACTGGTTCTTTTTAAGTGAGTGAGTCAGTCAGTGCCATCGAGTCAGACCCAACTCATAGCGACCCCTCCTTGGGTTTCTGAGGCAGTATCATGACGGAAGTAGATTGCCGAACCTGCCTTCTGAGGAGTGGCTGGTGGGTTTGAACCACCAGCCTTCTGGTTAGCAGTCAAATGCCTTAGGCACTATGCCACCAGAGCTCCTGATTCTTTTTAAAGGGAAGTAAAAAGTTATATTTATAGGTATGTGTTCTTTAATGTCCATGATACGTACTATGAAATAGGACAATAGTTGGTTGTTGTGTGAGCACCACAGTAAAACCTTATGGGAGCCCACTTCTGGTTGTCCTCGTCATAGCTGCAACGCAGCCACCGTAGCAGTAGCTGAGAGTGCAGGAGAGGAGCAAAATGAAGAAAGCGGGGAGGGAGAAGCGTGTGTGCAGGCCCACCCACCTGAGCAGCAGGAACAGCCCTGCACTAGCCCCTCTCCCACCACCACTGCCCACCTGCCTGCCAGACAAAGCCCAATAGCCTGTGCCCAGATCTATGGCCTCTGTCTCACCCGCCTGCATGACACTGGTGATCCTCTGCTGCAAGAATCTGAGTCTGGAGTCTTTAAAACCATTAGGGGGAGATAATAAACAAAAGGAGAGCTGTTTTCCCTTTTAAAATAATGAAAGAAACTCCATATGGGACTAGGGACATATATGCAGACAGACATTGCCTGACAGATATTCAGCAACGCATACCTGTACTTAACATATGGAATCAGCCATTTTTGTTCACTGAAAACAAATCACTGGCCTTTTTCTTAAGAGGTCTTAAATTCTGAACTTGCTTCCCTTTAAGCTTTTTCATAAACAAATAACTAGAAAGATCTCTAAGGAAGGGAGAGGCCAGTTCCTCATTTCACCTCTCATCAAGGTTGCTAGCACTGAGCAAAGGAGAATCCATTGTTACAGGGGTGAAATTTGTTGTTCCAAGCCCTTGCCTGGCAGCCTGCTCCGTGGTGAGGCACCCTCTGTGACTCGTCATGACCCACCTGGCAATGTCATGCTCAGAGGCAGACCATTGCACTACTAAAGAGAACGTCTGGCTGCTTTCTGGGTCGCACTTTCTGTTTATGTGGATCCTGCTGCTACCAGCTTTGCTTGGTCCTGTCTTTCCAGGTCTCATTAGAATCGTGAATCATTAATCTGTGTGGTTTAATTCCGAGTATAGTGCTATTATTTCTGCAGCTATGTGGGTGAGTGAGTGCTGGGTTTTTTCAGCTTGGGAGGCCGAAGCTGATGAATTTTCTTCATGGTGACCATGTATTAATTTAGTCTTTCAGAGAATATGAAGGGGGAGAATTAGCATGAACAAATTTACTACTAACTTTTGACTCTTTACCAGGTCCAACATGGGTGGTCATTTAGTAAAAACCATCTGGAAACCTCAGCCCTTGCCTCATGTAATCCCTGCAACAAGCCCTTTTATAAACATGGACACAGAGATCGAGTGGCTTGCCCTAAGTCACACAGCCCATTGGCCCCAACATAGAGAGGGGAACCAGACCCATCTTTCTCCAGATCCTGGGCTCTCCTCACCTCTCTACAAACTGCCTCCCAAAGCCCTGCTATATTCAAGTTTCTCTAGTTCTGATGAGTCATGTCAGCATTTACCATCACCTAGACCTACACGGATTCAATCTATTTAAGACACTAGTCCATGTCCTTCAGACCTAAATAACCTCCTGCTCATGACCATACCCCTATGCCTGGATGTTTAGAAAGAAAATCCAAGCTGTGCCCTAACCTCTCAAAAGAGGAGAAGGAAGGACAAAAGGGAAAACCTAAAGACAAAGACTGCTGATACATCTATTATGCAAGTACCTGTGTAAACATACTGAATGCCTTTAACATTGTTGCTGCCTCAAACTTAGATGGTCATATAAAGGAGAATATAACAGAATTTCCTGGATGTGGGTGTGGGTAAAGTACCTGGGCAACTCCAGCCCTCAGCTCTACCTTTAGGGTGTTGGGAGAATGAGGAACTGGCATCTTCATGAAGCAGCAGGTGTTCAGGACCGAAAGTAACCTAATGCACCTACGTTTACTAATGGCCAGAACAGATCTTTTCATTCATTTCTAGTAAGGCTGGTATCAACCTTCAGGGCAGCAGCCAGAATTGTTGTTGTTATGTGCCATCAAGTTGTCTAGAACTCACAGCGACCATTCCTTGGGTTTCCAAGGCAGTATCACTATGGAAATAGATTGCCCAATCTTCCTTCCAAGGTGTGGCTGGTGGGTTTGAACTGCTAACCTTCTGGTTAGCATTCAAGTGCCTTAGGCAGCCAGAATTAGTAATCTAAAATCAGTATCTAAAAACAAAACCAGCTCAACACTACCTTGACTATAAACATAAGTTTCCCATCTGCTATACCTCCCTCTAAAAGTTACCTATGCTTTTGAGTTGTCCACATGAAGTTTTCTCACACCATGTCGTCTGCTCAGAAGATTAAAGCAAGCCCAACATTAAGAACTTCAGATTTCTTTTATAATTAATTAAATTGAATTGGTGTCCAAATTAGTCTCCAGTCTAAAACTCAGTAGCCTTAAGCCAGATGAGAGCCAGGAAGTAAATACAAGAGAACTTGGAGTCCCAGAAATCAATGTCATCACATTGTCATGAAAAAAAATGTCATAACAGTAGCTTCCTCCTCTTTACTGACAAGAGAAAATCTAAGAGATTATTAATTCTCTCTAAACTGGGTTGTTGGGATTTTATGCCTGAAATAGATTAGAAGAAACACTGAAAGGGGAGTGGCTGCTGTAGGTAAGTACAGAAACTATAATGAAAAGTGATGAATGAAAATTAGGGAGCATGGCAGTATGGAGCCATTTACGTGGGAGTAAGCAATCATATGCTATAAAAACCTGTAACAATCACTGTATTCTCCGTAGAATGACAATGTGCATAGAAATAATCATTGTGTTTCACCACAGTACTACATGATAAGGAGCCCTAGTGGAGCAATGGTTAACCACTGGGCTGCTAACCACAAGGTTAGCAGTTTGAACCCTGTCAGCAGCTCCATGGAAGAAAGACCTGGCAATCTGCTTCTGTAAAGATAAAAGATAAGAAAACTCAATGGGGCAGTTCCACTCTGTCATATGGGGTTACTATGAATCAGAAGCAACTCACTGCACCCAACACCAGCAACAACTCTAGTGACATGTAATGGGGTCCACATAATGAGGTCAGATCATCAGGAAAATTTCTTTGGTGTGCACTGCTCTCTATGATAAAGATAAGGAAGTAAATGACAGACTGTAGAAAATGTTCTACTAAAAATGTTGTAAATGCAATTAAAATTACATAGCTCTAAAAATATTAGTTATCAGTCATCCTTCAAGTTTGGCTGTCCAAATGTGTTCAGTCCCCAAGAGTTCCAGATTGCTGAGTTTGGCTTCAGAATTACAGGCTTGCTAAGAATACTCTTGAAGAGTTCAGACTATGTGGTCAACTACTGTTGTTTCATCCACAAAAATATCCATGCACAGCCTGAAATCACCTTCTACATTGTCCACTCAAGGGAAGATGGTCTATATTCTCTGTTCCACACCAGATTTGTAAATAAACAAAAGTTGACTCTTAGGCAGTAATTGATGGGATGGATAAAGACTGCAACTTTTCCACACATTACTACTTTCTTCATACAGCAATCAAGTTGTCAAATAGTAGAATTAGCTTTGCTTGGGAGTAGGAAGGAGCCCTGGTGCCACACTGGTTAGAGTGCTTGGCTTCTAACCAAAAGGTTGATGGTTCAAACTCACCAGCTACTCCATGGGAGAAAGATGTGACTGTCTGCTTCTGTGAAGATTACAGGTTTGGAAATTCTGTGGGGTAGTTCTACCCTGTCTATAGAGCTGCTATGTGGAATTGACTCAAAGGCAATGGGTTTGAAATTAATCCTGCACTGATGAATTGTAGAAAATTTCTCAATTCATGAGATACAGGACAT